CGTGGCGCCCGCGGATTGAAAAGTGTGCTCCACAGCGGCTACTGCTTTTTCCCTGCAGACCGCGGCTGTCTTGGCTTCTTACCCGCGGAGCCTCCCATGCGGCCTCCCCTCTGTCACGGCGTGGTGCAAGCTCTCTCTTCCTCGCGCCCTTGGTTTGTCAAGAAACGGGAACCGTGTTGAGGATGAGTGTGCGAGCCACAGTCAAGCTCGCTGCGCAGAGGTGACGTTGACCCTGGTCCGTCCGATCCCCTGGCTTCCCAGGTGCTCACCTAGTCGGGCGGGCGCCATGGAGCGAGGAATCCGTGGATGGAGAGAGGGACAGAGAGGGAGGGTGGGAACGAGCGATGACGGTGGTGATCTTGGCTCGGACTTCTGTCCAAGATCTGCGTTGACGGCTGAGGCCTTGGCTTACGAGGAAGCCGCGCTCGCAGTCTACAGTATCGCTCACACCTTGCCGTTCGCCGGCCACGCGCAGAAAGGGGGGTCGGGGGAGGGGTAGGAAGTTTCTCAGAAACGCCCTGCTTCTCGGTGACGCGGGTTTTCATCTATAGATGTAACGTCGGCACCCTCGAAGAAGCAGCCTCCCTTCTAAGAAGCTGCCCCCTCTCGCCCTGTCGCCCCTCAAGACGTGTGTCTTTTCTTGTGCCCGACGTTGGTTCGATGCGGAGTGGACGCGGATTTGGAGTCGATTCGACGCAGATTCGACGTGTATTCGACGTGGATTCGACGTTTGCAACTCGGATTCGACATGTATTCGACGCGGATAGGGGCGCGACGGGACAGACAAGGTCCCCCGAATATGCAACACAACGCCAAGCACACAAACAGAGCGAGGGAACGACCGCCGGAAAGGGGGACGGGGAGGGGGGGTTGAGGCCACGAAGCGGGAGCTCCTCCTTCGCGCCCTCTGGCCGAGCATCTGCGCCTCCGCCGTGCAGACGATCGGCGGCGAGCGATGGTGGGACGATCAGCGGCGAGCGATGGGGGGACGTTCAGAAGGCTCGGAAGGCCTTCCCCGAAGGCACAGAAGGCCTCTCAGAATGCGCGAGGGCTTCTGAGAAGTCCCGCCGCCTTCTGAAAACGTTTTCTCCTTCTCACTTCCCCCCTCGCTCGCAGCCGAGACGAGGCCAGGGTCTCGAGGCCAGGGGCTGGTTACGCTGCATCTTTGGGGGACCTCGCCTGTTCCAAACGTTGGTGACGCGGGCACGATGCGGACTCGACGCGGATTTGGCGCGGATCCCGACGCGGAGTCGACACGGATTCGACACGGATCCGACGAGTCAGACGTGGATTCGACGCGGATTCGACGCAGATAGAGCCGCGACGAGACAGAAAAGGTCCCCCGAGGATGCAACATAACATACGAGGCCAGGGGCTGGAGCGCAGGGCCACCCAGGTGGTGACAATGAGAGAGAATCGGGCCTCTACCCACTTTCTGTCTGTCCCTCACAGTCCATATCCCCCCTTGCCCCGCCCCTTATACAATTGCGCGTGACGAGCATGGATGTCCAGAAACAAGAACATCAACATTACCAGCGGCGGGCTGCTTCAATTCCCAAGACTTTGAGGGTCAAGGACGACGTCGGGGTCGTGTGGTGTAATTCTACCTTTTTCCCGTTTTCCCACGGAAGCAACGAAACATGTACACACCAGGGTCCCGTATACACCAGGATCCGCTCTCCCGTGCGAGTTTCAGTGCGGGGCCAGTAACATCGTCGGTGTATAGAGTTCGGCTCCTTACGCAGGACCACCCAGGCGATGAGAGAGAATCGGGCCTCCCCCCTTTCCGTCTGTACCTCACAATCCATCTCGTCCCCTGCTCCGCCCCTTTCCGGTTGCAGGTGACGAGCGTGGATGCTGCTCTCCTCTCTCTCCCTAGTCTCCGTCTTGCAGATCGACGATTCTCGCCGCATGCTGGTTGTTGTTGTTGTTGTTGTTGTTGTTGTTGTGGTGGTGGTGGTGGTGGTGGTGGTGGTGGTGGTGGTGGTGGTGGTGGTTGTTGTTGTTGTTGTTGTTGAACATTATTTCTTCTTAAGAATAATTATTGTTGGGACCCCTGGTGCGCGACCTCTGCGCCGCGCCTAGGCCGCAGCTACATTTTCATCATTTTTTCGCGAAAGCTTCAGAAAAGTGGATTGTGTCCGGATCCGGTTGTTTTGTTGATCCGTTTTCCCTTGCAAAAAACATATAAAATGAAAATTCTTGTTCTTACTTGATCAAATTGCAAGAATCCCTTGCAAAAAATAAGGTAAAGTGGACATTCGTGCGCGCAAGACGAAATCCTTCCAAAACCTTAGGTTTCGTAACGATTTTAACATAAAAACGTCAAAAACCCAATGGTTTTTTAAGAAAAAATTGTCAAAATGTCCTTCCGCGCGCGCTGTCCGAATCCCACAAAACCAATGGTTTTTCAACATTTATGTTACATGAGCTCGCGCGAGCTACTTTTTCTTGTTCTAACATAATCAAATTTCAATAATCCCTTGCAAAAAATAAGGTAAAGTGGACATTCGCGCGCGCAAGACGAAATCCTTCCAGAACCTTAGGTTTCGTAACGATTTCAACATAAAAACATCAAAAACCCAATGGTTTTTCAAAACAAAATGTCCAAATTTCATCCCGCGCGCGCTGTCCGACTCCCACAAAACCAATGGTTTTTCAACATTTATGTTACATGAGCTCGCGCGAGCTACTTTTTCTTGTTCTAACATAATCAAATTTCAATACTCCCTTGCAAAAAAAAGTAAAGTGGACATTCGCGCGCGCAAGACCAACAAAAAACACGACGATCTAGGAACTTGCCCCAAAAATGTGACCAACTCCGCTCTCTCTGTCTCTCTCTCTGTCTGCTCTCTGTCTCTCTCTCTGTCTGTCTGTGTCATGTATTGTATGTCACAATTGCAGGATGCTGGGCACACGCGCGCCCCGTAGTCTGTACCCCACGCCAGTGTAGTAGCCACGGTCGTCCGCACGCCACGAAGTGAAGTGTCCCAACGTCATAGGGCGGGAAGCTGGGTTTGGGTGGTCGCGAAGAGTCGTTTGGATATTTGGTAGAGCTTGAACTGCCCCCCCACGAAGTGGGGGTATTGTCTCGCGTCGCATGAAAACCCTGGCACTGGTGAGAACACTGAGCGTTCGGGTAAAATGATTGTTGTTGTTGTTGTTGTTGTTATCGTTGTTGCTTGTGCACAATCCGATTGTTCCCGGGCATTGTGCTCCTATCTTTCAGAATGGCGCTCTTGCCAAGGCGTGGGCCACCTTTCTGGATCCGAGTTGTCTTTCATCATTGTCGCCCCCCTCATTTCCCTTCCTATTCCTATGTACGCAACCCCCTATGCCGAGTGCGCCTAATACGATGGAGTTTTCTTGTTAGTTTTCTTGTTGGAAGTCCAGCTCGGCTATGTCACGCGTCCGCGCACAGAGAAAAACTCATCGCAACGGGATGGGAGGGGAGGAAGGGGTTTGATGTTAGATGTGGCGCGAGCGCAACTAGCTTGTCTCTCTCTCTCTCTCTCTCTATCTTGTCACCCCTCTCCTCCCATTCTCGCCTCCTCCCTCGTGCCTCCCTCTGTCACCTTTTCCTTTTCGCCTTGCGCTTTCCTACCCGAGGAACCTCGGGGAACTTGCGAAAACAACATGGCACATGTGAACATCGCGGAATATCATTGAAGTTACAGGAATTCGCAGTTAATTGGTCTTCCAGATATCAGTGACGAGGGCATCCCGAGGACCCAGACCTCAGATGCGAAGACGCAGACATGGATGACATCCAGACCAGCCCCACGCGGGTGAAGTGGGCCCACACGACGACACGGACATCCACATGGTTCGGAATTTTCTTACGGCATGTTGATGATCGTGCATCGTGCTTTTGTTCCCTGTAGTCGTGAAGGGTCGCCTGGCAGAACTTTGGCATCCATTGTCGCAGCGCATGCTACATGGACGAGCTAGCGGCCAAGCTCTGTGGCCTGGTCGTTGAGGCGCGCCGGGCCTTCGTCGTCGCTCCGTCATGACTTTCTGCAAGGTAATGGACACATGGCCTATGCTGCATGGAGCGATACGGCCGACTTTCCACTGAAGCGCTCGACGCGCCATTGGTGCTGCGGGGCATGGGGACAGCCATTGGTCCCTTAATGTGTCCGGCTGGCGAGCGGCTCTCCTCGGCCAGGGCCACCGTGTGGTTCAACAGGCTTCTGGCAGTCGCGACAAATTGCCGACATGCGGCTCTTCGCAGGCGCGCATGATTGTGAACAACTTTTGTGGCGCTGGTCGTGGCCAGTGACCACACTCATGTGATGCTGTGGGTCAACTGCTCCCTCGAGCGTTTCAGGACGCAGAGTCGTTCGTGCTGGTCGTTGACCATCGCGGCAGCCAACGAGCACGCCCTGCAGTCGACGACGGCCGTGGTGAAGCTCGAAAAGCCCAAACGTGAATGGAAGTTCTTGGCCACGTCCCAGGGCTCATTTCGATTCCTCCGATTCGATTCGATTTCGATGGATTCCGATTCCGAATCGATTCGACTTGGGATTCCGATTTGGATGCCAATTCCTCCATGGAGGCCTACTAACCTGCCGATTCCCGACGATTCGACCTATCCCGACTCGGCTGCCGATTTCTGCCGATCCGATTGATTTCGATTGCCGATCCGACTTATCGATCCGATTCTTGGCCCCCTGCGTCCTCCCTTTCCGCTACTTCTCCTCATCCATCCCCCTTGTCCCTCCTCCTGCTGATCCTTCTCCTCCTCCTCCTCCTCCTCCTCCTCCTCCTCCTCCTCCTCCTCCTCCACTCGAGACGACGCCGACGCCGACGGCGACGATGCCGACGCCGACGCCGACGACGCCGAGTCCGACGATGACGACGCCGAAGACGTCTCCGACGCTGGTGATGACGACGGCGACCGGCGACGCCGAAGACGATGCTGACGACGGCGGCGCCGCTGCTTGCGGCGGCTGCGGCGGCGGCGACTGCGGCGGCCGACGCCATCGTCGCGCTGCGAGGCGCCGAGTACTTCGGCCAGTGGAAGGGCCACTGCCGGGAGGGCAAGGAGCCGCCGCCGCCGACGCCGCCGCCGCCGTCGCCCCTCGCCAGCGTCGCCGCCGCGGCCGTGGCGGCCGTCGCCGCGGCGGTCTCCACCTCCGCCAGCGACGGCGCCCGTCGTCGTCGTCGTCGTCGTCGT